TACTCTTGAACTTGAACGAACGTTGTCGACAAAATAGAAGCGGCAGCCGGCACAGGCAGTTCCATTCCATTACTTCACAGCAAACGGGCGCGTTTGTGTTTCATTCATTGCGTAGTTTTTTCATAATCCGTGTAAGTATTTCTATTTTAATCTTTTTATGTATTTCAGAATAGTTAATCAAGTATTATTTATAAGATAAAAATACTAAACAAAGTAGGAGATGTATAAACAATGGAAATATATATTATTCCATCAGGTTATCATTCAGTTTAAATTTTCAATATTATTTGATATTCTACGAGTCCTCAAAGAACCACCGTATCTTTTATTCGAAATTGGATACATGTATCCCTGAAATAATTAATTACAGAATAATCCTATGTAGGTGTTTTCATGATATTTTTTTCACTAAATACATGAAACGCCATATTGAATAAACTTTGTTTTTACAATTTTTTTAGTTAGTCTCCCGTGGCACGGTGTGAAACGACAGGAATTTCAAAATAATTCAAAGTTAATCCGGTTCTCACAACTCACTATGCGAAACAGTAAATATTATGCTGCTATTTTACGCTGGTATTTTGTGAAAACGTGTTCCTTCACCGGTCGAGCCTATACTTTTGTGTTGTCGGCATGATGCAGCCGCAGGTCCTACCACCTATAATGGATCTTTATTCATGTTCAATTTATATAATATCTATATAATACCTATGTAAAACAAATCATCGTTTACCGTGCCTGTTCTTAATTACTTTTATTTACCTAAATACTTTTTTTCAATTTTACCCATACCATTTATCTTAATTAGTAATTTTAATTAATATTTATAATTGGGATAAAATTAAACTTGTGTGGAAGTGTCTCTCTCTCTCTCTGTGACTCAAAACATAAAGATATTTAGAAACTCGAACTTTAAAAATCGTACTTATATTTACAACAAGTTCTAAACGGGAAGAAAAAAAACTACTACACCGAAATTATCATTAAGGCGAGGTTAAGGCCGGCCACATACATACGGAATTACGTTTCGAGATTCCGTTTCGGAATTCCGAACGGGTCGGCCACACACATACGGAATCCCGTTTTGCCCGCAAAATGTCGAACGGAAAACTACCGTACGTGTGTGGCGGGTCATAGATTTTATATGGACTCGCTGCGTTCGGGATTCCGAATCGGAATATCGAAACAGAATCTCGAAACGGAATTCCGCATGTATGTGGCCGGCCTTATAGACGACTTTTATGAATTTGAGGGGGTGAAGCATGTAGTAAGGGACGAGAAGTCCCGCCCACTGCGGGGCGCACCGCGTGAATCTCGCCGACGCTCGACGTAAAATGTACAATTGGTACAGCGCGCCGCCGTCCGCCTTTGCACCGCGTTTCCGCGATGTCAGGTGGTTCGAATCCCATCAGATATATATTTTGTATTCGTATTTTTAGAATGTTTCTACGTTTATTTTCGTATCTAAAATATGTACATATTTTTGTTTAGTTATTCTAAAAATATTATGTACCTCGTGTTGTTATTTTTAAAATATGTACATATTTAATTTTCTTAATTTTAAAATAATCAATAATTTTTATTTTCTAGAAAAGGTTATCGAGAACTTTTGTAACAAATTCATTAAATGAATAATAAATTAATGCTTAAATAAAATGGCTTTGGACCAAAATGGTCAATCATAGAAATGGCCTATTCTCGAAACGGTAAATTGTCAAAATTGTGAATTTATAAAAACAATAATTTTTATTCCTATAGACATTTTTCTTCAGAATCAAGAGTAAAGTAAACTATTATGAACAAATTTTGCTATAGCGCTAGCCCTAAAATCGAAAAAAAAAAACAACAACCGTTTAATAATTTTTTTCCCGCGTAAATAACCTTTTTGCTAAAAATAGCAGTTATTTTTGGATTTGTGGATTGTTTGAAGAATACATAAAAACTAAACAAGCTAATTATTTTAATTTTACTTTATTATGACTTAATTTAAATTTGGAACAGACAGACAGAACGTAATAATATGCTGTTACAACTAATGTTATGTCTAAATAATTACATTATAAAATTCACCTTTATTTTGCCACGCCTAGGGTTGGAATTTCTCTAAATTTATGTTGTACCACCCCTGAATAACCCATCCAATAAAACAAAAATCATTCAAACGCATTAGGTCGGAAAAAAAACGAAAAAAAAGAACATACAGTCGAATTGTGAACCTCCTTTCTACCTATTTAGGTTTATTTACTAAAGTTGCTAAACAGATAAAGTGAAGACACGTTATCCTCAAGTGTACAATTTTACGGATAAATATTGACATGTGCCTATCGTTGTATACGATAAGACTGTTCATTATATCTCACACAGATGTAGTTCATGTTTATCAGAAGTGCTAATACTAACACTATTCGTGTGTCACTATGTTGTCATATCATGTCATAGTAGTGTTGCCATCCGTCTAGATATGGCGGGACGGTCGCAGTTATTGAGCCGTGTCCTGGTAACGCCTATATTTTTCCCGATAAAAAAATACAAAATAAAAAAGTTAAAGTTAAAGTTAAAGTAACAACCTGTATACGTCCCACTGTTGGGCTAAGGCCTTCTCTCATTTCTGAGAGGATTATAGAACAACGAAATGTCCACCGGGGAAATGTCTTCTTTTTTTCTTTTTTCTCAGATATGCAGGTTTCCTCACGGCATTTTCCTTCAACGCCGATCACGTGTTAAATCATCACTTAAAATTTCAAATAACAATTTCATTGGTGCCGGCGGGGATCGAACCCAGGTTGCTCGCGTACTGTAAATCTTATCCGGCACAAAATAAAATGCTACACTTTATTTATAATTGCCTTCTTTTGCACTTATCCCGGGCGTTGTGCGTGCGGTAAGGGTGACTCCAGCGGGGTTAGCTAAGTTCACTTTCTATTATGCTTGAGTAAAAAATATCGATATATCGAAATATCAATCGTCATAAAAATATCGTCGATATTTTTAGTCGCGATATATCGATATTCATTTTAGAGAATCGAATTCGTATCAATATTGATATATTTTAAAATGTTGTATTAACCGACGCCACTTTAAGGCGTTTCCCTAACCAAATAACCTTAAGCGAGTAATAAAAGTTTGAAAAAAACCTTAGGCTTTTGGACACAATAAATCATAATTTTGCATGTTCTTTTTGGATTGGATTTTTGGATTGAATAGAGTGGAAAAAAACTAACCGATTTCATTGAATAAAATTAATTTTGCGGATTTTATCGTGTTGATTCAAATGTAAAAAATATAATGATTTCTTATATTTACGCGAACACGTAAAATTAGTTTTATTTAAAAATGTAAAAAATATACCTTTTTAATATTCAACGTTTCACGGGGATGGGGTTGGGGTTGGGGTGGTGTATGGGTTGGTTAGGACTGTGTTTGACGTCCTTGTGTCGTGTTAAATAAAACATGGGTTTGTAGGTCATTCCAAAAACATTAAGTAATTAAAATGTAATAATCGATCGATAAAGTGTAATAATCGATCAGACTTTAAAATTCATGAAATGTGAATAATTCTAGATAGTTATTTAATGTACTGCATGAACTTTGGAGCAGTTAACAAAATATTTTCTGCATAGGCCTTAGGCCCTCAGTCATCTACTAATTTTTTCCTATACATCGCATATTATAAATGACACACATCGTCACAATGTAAGAAATAAATAAAGAACATAAAATTTATTCATTGTTGCAACTTGCTCTAACAAAAAAATTAACAGTATAACAATGTATAAACTATTAAGTATATTTTTTTAGGTTGTATAATTTTCCAGAACTGGAAGCTAAGACCTTCTTTTTCGGTTTTTCTGAGAAAAGCCCTAAGCAACTTCAGTGCGTGTTGGAAAATTTAAATTTAAAACCAATTTTTATCATCCAACTTAGTCGTTAGGGGTGACAACACATGGCACTTACCACATGGCATGTGAGAGTATTTGACACCTTTACTTTCAAATGTCAGACCTGGGACACTTTTTTATAGGTAATAAAAATATTTGTTACTTTCGGGATTTGAACCCGCGCAGCAAAATGCTTAGCCACAGCGCTATCGCGTGGTCTAAATAAGCACATTAACGCAAAGTTATTGTCATTCATTTAGTCATTATGTAACGGTACATTATTATTATTAATAAATAATAATTAATTTCCATATAAAGTCGCCTAAAAATACATAGATATGATATTTTAAGCAATTAAAATGCATTGATAAGCATGTAGCATGCAGTAAAGTAAGGGCTTAACATTGTCTTTAAAAATTCATAAAATTTACGAAAACTCTGCTTAACAAGTCGATTATATTACAATAATATAGATAAATAACATTTAAAATATTTATATTATAATTGGGAAATTGGTCAAAAAGTTTCTTAGTTATTGAGCGTGTTCTTGTAAAGCTTGAGTGAGTTAATGTATGAATGATAACTTTTCTAAGGGAGTTGCCGGAGACACATACCTGCAGTCATACATATTATATGTATATGAGGTGTTCAGATGGTTGACTACCAAAGTACTGTTGCACAATGTATAGTCCTATATTAAGGACATGATAGTAAGGTACTTCAATATAAATAAAATGAGAACATCATCAATGTAGTCGAACTCAATTAAATACGCATTATTAAGGATAACTCAAAAACTACTGGTCATGAGAAGCACCAGCCTTCAAATCAAAAAAAAAATCATCAAAATCTAGAAAAAAGTTCCAAGGTAACACACATAAAAAACATTCGAATTGAGTACCTTTTCCAATTTTGCACGTTTTCACAAAACAGTACTTTTGGACGTTTTGAACGTGTATTAAATCGGTTCACAAAACGAAGACTGGCGCGCGATTGGAACTCTTACGTTTTAGAACTCTTTGGCTCGGACACTTTTGAGCGCTAACCCGAAATCCATTTAGTAGTAGGTGAATGGTTTTTAATGTAACACTTAGATATATCGTAGTGATCTTTTACAGAAAAATGCCGAAGGTAACATTGACCTACTTCAACGTGAAGGGCCTGGGTGAAGGCATCCGCATGCTTCTGGCGTACGGAGATCAGGAGTTCGAAGACAAACGAATCACCAAAGACGAATGGCCTGCGTTAAAACCAAGTTAGTACCAACATATCATACTTAGTAGCGGATCCACAAAACACACATACGGTATGCGGATTGTAATGTGGACAATAGTCTATTCGGTACAAACAAGTCGTTTGTTCATAATTCTGTACGTACTACAGTAGTTTACAATCATTACTCTACGTAAATTGCGGACAAAAATATTAATTAAATGCAATTTAACCCGTAATTTTTATTTATTTGAAATTATCAATTCATTATTCTCTCGTAATACACTCAAATAGGTAGTTATTTATTTCTTAAATAACTATTAATATTATTAAATTTAACTTATCCTTTATAACATCCCGTTTGTAATGCCTGAAAAAGATCATTAGATTTAAAGTACATAATGTATTGTTTCTTTCGCCTCAGATCTTTTTACCACTTTGTTACAAATAAATCATTTGATTTGAAATAATTTACGGCCAGCACTTTCAAGAACGAAAATTCAGAAATTCATCTTATAATTTTATTTTGTGCAGAAACTCCATTCGGTCAGCTACCAGTTCTGGAGATCGATGGCAAGCAGTACGCACAATGCCTTGCCATCTGCCGCTACCTCGGCCACAAGTATGGTCTCGCTGGCGCCGACATTGAAGAGGACTTCCTCATCGATCAAAACATTGACTTCTTCACGGACATCCGTCTAAGTAAGCACCTTAAGTTTTAGCTGTGGTTGTTAGGCAACTGCTATTTTTGCGTTAAAGCTATAAGTTCTACTGCTAGGCACAGGCCTACCCTCATTTGTAAGAGGGATTTTTGGTATGGTAGAGTTAGCCGCTCTGCCACAATGCATGTTAACGGGCGGCGTATGTCCTCATTTTTTTAATTTCTCAGACTGCAGTTTTCTTCACAAATTAATCGCCGCCGAGTACGGGATTAATACAACACAACAAGTACAATTAAAATTTAATTAATGGTGGAGTTTAATTTAATTAAAAATATAGTTGAAGAGTTTCATCTTCATCATCACCAGCCTGCGGCAGTCCACTGCTGGACATAGACCTCTCCAAAGGCGAGGAATTTAGTCCGATCTTCGAGTTCACGCATCAAGTGTGTTGCGTATTTGGGACTTAACCATGACTATTAAGGACAAACGTGGGATATGCGTGATTACTTCTTTTTCTTCTTATATTTCATCAAATACAAGCTATAAATATAAACCAGAGAAGAAAACCGACATGTTTAATCTATTTATTGAGACAATTTGCTATAAGATAGCAAACGCATTGTTAAATACAATTAAGGTCGATTTCACGCTTGATGGTGGACCTCCTGAGGAACCTTGCAGGAAAAACAGACGGCACCAACACAGATACATCGTGACTTGGAGGGAAACCTATTGTAACAAAGGACTTATCGTAAGCTGCAATACAGCAAATAAAACCAAGTATATATTTTTAGAGGCAGCAGGAGCACATTACGAACAAGATGAAAAAGTTAAAGCGAAGAAGCAAGAGGACCTCGTCAAAAACCAGTATCCGATCCTACTCGAAAAACTGAACAAGATAATTGAAGAGAACAACGGACACTTAGCGGCTGGAAAGGTACGTTTAATTTAAATGCGTAAAAAATAAAGTAGCTATTTTTTATAGAATAAGGGTGACAAACAAGCACACAGTTCACCTGAGAGTAAGTGGATGCTGTGGCCCATAGAATCAAGAACAGATATACTTGTAGATGTCTATGGGCCACAGCATCCACTTACCGTCATGTGGGCTGTGTCACTGTGTGCTCGCTTGTCACCCAAACTACTTTTTTTAAACACCCAACCTGTAATAAGACCGCTGGTATTCAATGTATCGGCTCTGCGACAGTCAGGAAACTGCATTTGTTTGTTTTGTAACACATATTACAAGATAAAAAATTGCACAAATCACACACATAAAAAATATACGTATTTTATACATGGTAGAGCCATGCTCCAGCTATATTGGTAGTATAGTTATAGCACGAATGGGTCGGCTCGACTGGGGAAGGTCTACGCTCTCACAAAATACCATCGTAAAATAGCAGCTTAATGCTGCTGTGTTTCGTATGGTGAGTGTAGAGAACCGGAGACCCATTTTACTGGAAAAGAGGCATTCCATCGTAGTCCTCAAGGCTGACAGCGTTTTCTGGGTAGGTACTATCCTCGTACTTACTTTCTGCTATTGAGTTATATGTACTACGTACTAGAGAAACTATTCCAAACAAACATTGTGCGCTGTGATAGTAGAGTCGCGTATGCGCGAAGACTTTATAATGTAAAAATGAATCGCTGAATGTGTTGCTAAGCGCAAATCTCGAGAGCAGTTGACCCGATTTCGCTAATAATTTTTTTATAATATTCCTTGTTAGTACGAAGATGGTTCATATGGAGAGAAAAATTTAAACATTGCCTGAAAAAGTCTAACAACAACACTTTTCTATATTCCCATACAAAAGATTCGTAATAATACTTAAAAGTCAATTTGAACATTAATACCATAAAGTTTAAGTGTTAGTGGAGGAGTTTCGGGAAGGCAAAACAAATGAGTGACTTTAGTATCGTATAAATATTAATGTCAATATTTGTCAATATTTATACACACTGGCAGATAGCTGATGTTATAAGGAGTAACTTGGGCTGCTTTTATTTTATGGTTCCGCGATAAATAACTCCACGCGGCCGAAGTCGCGGGGAACAGCTAGTTTAATATAAAATAAGATATTAATATAAAACAAATATAAGAATATAATATAAAATACTCTTTTTTATATAAACAAACATATTTCTAAATAAAATATAATAATAACAATCTTATGGAATTCACAAATCTTCAATTTACGCAATATTTAGTTTAGTGTACGGATTGCAGTACAGTTAAGTTGAACATAGTGTGTGTTCGGAATGCGAAATCTAGTGCGTACTACATATATATCGATGCTTTCTGCAAATAGCAGTTCTTGCACTACCGTGGTCGGTCTGAATGGTATAGAGATCAAGTATATTAACAAGCTGTGAGGTATTACATCTTAGCCGTCAGAAGTGACAACGCACTTGTTTCTGTTATTAGGAAGGCGCAGTAGTTCATCTCCTGTTTTGTTTTCCTATGTCGCCTCTTACACGACACCCACGGGATGATATGGGATAGTGGATATTCTTAAACCGCGTTCACGGTCATATGCACCATGATAAAGCTAGAAGGATGTTTTGTGGCGTCGTTTTACGTACATAAATGACTATTTAACTTTCTTTCTCATGGTTTTTTTATATTTGTAATATTATTTTATTTCAGTTGACCTGGGCCGACTTTGTATTCGCCGGTATGTACGACACCCTTAAAGTGATCATGCAGATGCCCGAACTCGATGAAAAGTATCCCAGCTTTAAGAAACTGAGAGACACCGTCATTTCACTGCCCAAAGTGAAAGAATACTGCGCCGCGGCGCCTAAAACTGACTATTAGTTTGTAATCATTACGCCATAGGAACTGTTATTTTATATAAAATTACTACTTACTGCATAATCGATTATGTAATTAAGGTATTTTTATTAAATGTTTTCAAAACAAACTTTATTTCATTATTTGGATGTATGGTATTAGGACCGTATAGAAAACGACAACAATTATTTTTTGTTATAGAATAAATATTAGAAAAAATCTTGTAGTCCACCAGGTAAATAAATGCTGTGACCCATAGACATCTACATTTTATCTATACATATAATAAAAATGTAAAAAGCAGACGTCTGTACATTTTATATTTTTGTAATAAAAGTGATTGAGAGGTACTAAAAATAAGTAACTAAATACATTTCTACCATTTTTAGAATTTTCTGTCTGTCTGTCTGTCTGTCTGTCTGTCTGTTTGTTTGTTAACGTATCACATATAAAGTACTAATTTATATCATAAGAATCATTAAGGAAAATATAAAGTGTATCTTCGTGTTACATTTAGTCTTTATTTTATTAAAATCAGTTCATTCAATCAAAAGTTATGATAAATATTCTGAAGTATGAATACGAAGTATAGGTACGAATTTGTTCAACGGTGGCGTTGGTTGAGTCATCAAGTGCATTTTAAACTAATACTATATCATAAATCATAATTAAATTAGGTAAAATAATGTTCTATAATGATATAATTATATCTAAAATGCAGTAAACAAAAGTATTAAAGAACGTATTAAATAAAATAATATACAAAAATATATTATAAACTTATTAACTAAATCTAAAGTGAAATAGTTAACCAATTTTATCGATAGATGGCGGTATGGTCAAAATGTAATATAAAAAGGCGTTTTGCTTACTATGCAGACACTGGTTTATAAGTTCTTTTATGTTTTATATAATAATGTACCAATCGCGTCAATTAATCTCTTTTATTTTTAGAACTGATTGCTGTTAGCAGCGCCATCTCTCTTTAAATATATACTTATAATAAAAATGGTGATAACATGTTGTGTCTGTTTTTGTACATTGTTTTTATATATATAATAATGTACCAATCGCGTCAATTAATCTCTTTTATTTTTAGAATTGATGATTGCTGTTAGCAGCGACATCTCTCTTTAAATATATACTTATAATAAAAATGGTGATAACATGTTGTGTGTGTTTTTGTACAATGTATAGAATATTTGTCACTAAAATCATTATAGGGAAATGAAAATAATTAAGTAAACACATTTTTATAATTTTTAGAATTGTCTGTCTGTCTGTCTGTCTGTCTGTTTGTTTATAAACGCATCACATCTAAAGTAAAAGAAATCGTTAAAAAAATCATAAAGCGTATCTTCAAGTTACATTTAATTTTTGTTTTATTAAAAGTTTAAAATGTAGGTTCTAATATGTTCAATGGCGCCATAAAATCTCAGAAAAAGTAATAAAAATATTTGTGTGTAAAAAAACGTTCTATAATAATATATTTATACTTAAAACAAAGTCAACAATAAAAAAGATGTTTTCCTTAAATTAAAAAAGTTTTCTCACAACGAACGTAATAGATGGCATTGTACAAATTACATTCTTTTCTGAATTGCGGCGTTAAGATACTTCGAATCGTATTGAGACTCACTGACGTGCAGTCAGTCTCACAAATAACCATACATTACGCAGAACCAATGTAGATATTATATATTTTCAATTTCAATTTCAACTTGATAAATTAAATTAAATGATATATATTATGAGTTATAAATATATATGTATATATAAGTAAAATAGTCAATTTATTTTATATCAGATTATAATGAACATACTAATATCCAAAATCACAACTTCCCACAACTCAATAGCGAACTCATATCCCAACTTCAAAGGTTGCTACATGAAATAAATCCATACGTTCATAGTTTTAGGGTTGCATTGCAATCGATCCGTCAAGATTTAATAAACAATTATAAAATAGTTATTACCGCTGACAGGCGTCCTGTTACTAAAAAAAAGTTACTGAACACCGCGGTAGCAACGTTCCTGTCACTGATGAAGTGGCAGTGGTATTAGTTGACCAGGAGTGCGATAGACGTGACATCGTGTTGCACACACATGACGATCGACTGTCAGGGATTTATGAAACGCATCGATATTATGATGCTCTACAATATCCATTAATATATTGTCACGGTGAAAATGGGTACAATTTCGGAATTTATCAAGTTAATCCTAATACCAGAGAGACTAATTTTAATAAAAAAATATTTGCTCTGCAATTTTATTCGCACCTGTTACATGTAAGGCATATATCTTCTTGCGTATCTGCAAAGATTTCGGGGGTTGTTTTACCAATTTATAGTGGACATGTATGCGAAAATAGAGACGGAGCGCTTAGTGTATATTATACGCACTAACCAGAGACGTCTGTTACGCTGACGTCTAATAAGTGATATTGATAGAGTAATGATATAAATCGTTTAATATTTTCTTACCTGAATGTCAAATTCTCCAAGTAAAACCTATATACGCGAGCTACGCCGCGGGCACAGCTAGTCTTTAATAAAGAATCAAAATACAGATGCGTTGTCACTCCTGAGGAATGGCTCGCATCCAGTAAAAAGGGCCTCTGGTTCTCTACACTCACCATACAAAACACAGTAGCATTAAGCTGCTATTTTACGCTGGTATTTTATAAGAGCGTGGTCCTTCCCCGATCTAGTCTACCCATTTGTTCTACTACCATAATTTAGTTGCAGGGTGGCTCCACCACTATAAACTACCACGTTTTATCGTAATTGAATGAATGGTATATGAACGCATCAAAAACTACAACAACTCACCAAAGATTCATCTTAATTGGATCAATGGTATAAAACACATACAGGTCAAACAAAAAAAAACATTTATTTTTATATGTATAGAAGATTAGGCGCAATGTTTGTCTAACCTAATTTATACATCAAATACCATTGATACAAAACATATGACGATAATATAGTATGCAGTATATGAATGAAGTAAACAAGATAATAATGTATGGTGGACATTGAATACTGACCGTTAGGTCCAATAGGTCGATAGGAGTATATTATATACGACTAATGTTGCGGAAAACCGGCAATCCCATCTATAAATAAAAAATCAATTGCCGTGCGTTAATCTCGCATAAACTCGAAAATGGCTCGTATTATTTTGATGAAAATTTTTGCTTATGTTTAAGTAGGTTTCATGATGGTTTTGATAAACAATTGGACACGGTAGGTGGCGCTATTGTCGAGATCCAGAAATCAGCCGTGCGAAGCCGAGGACGTCGCTACTCTTAATAAAAAGTTTGACCGCAAACAACGCTGATTGACTTTATTTTATAACACTAAAGTGACAGATGAACTTACAGTCCACCTGGAGTTTTGGCGGGAACTTGACCGGCGGCGGTTTGCTGCTCTTGGTTTGAAGTGGATTTTGATATGTAAAAGTGGTGCGATTTTGTGTATTAATTGTCTGCGCATGTGAACTATTAGTGGAAACGGTAAAACAAGTGCTCTGATGGTGATGTGATTCTCAAGATAAGATGTCTGGTTGCTTAGGCGCTATGAGATACCATCGCCAACTATCAGCTGTCTGCTGGCTCAAATTGCCGTCAAAATCTCTCAAGGGCTGCACAATGTGACGTACATCATCAGAATGACAGGGAAGGATAATGAAATGAAATAATAAACTATTTTTCCTTTTCATTGTACTCTCCCTTAACCCTATAACATTTATATATAATTTTATAACAGATCTAATAAATGTTATATAATTTTATGTAACATTTATTAGATCTGTCAAATAACTTATTAATACCGTCTAAAAAAAGGATTAGTCTTGGGCGTCAAAATAGGCCAAAATTGCCGACTTCACTTCATCATCGTCGACAAATTTTTTCCATATATATTTTTCTAAATAATAGTCGGTGGGTGGCGAAGTGTTCAAAACCGCACCGGTGAAAGGCAGCCGTCACAACATGACTTGTGCGCACGGGCGCATTGTCGTGCAAAAGAGGCACGCCTTTTATAAGCTCTCCTCGCCTTTTTTTCTTTAATAACTTCTTTTCATTGATCTATTTATTTTATAGGATAGGGTGACAAACGAGCACACAGTCCACCTGATGGTAAGTGGTTGCTGTGGCCCATAGACATCTACATCTAGCCTTGTTTGCGAATCAAAATGCAGATGCGTTGTGAGGACTAAGATGGAATGCCTCTTTTCCAGTAAAAAGGGTCTCCGGTTTTCTACACTCACCATACGAAACACAACAGTTTTAAGCCGCTATTTTACGCTTGTATTCTGTGAGAGCGTGGTCCTTCCCCGGTTGAGACGACACATTCGTGCTACAACTATACTACTAATATAGCTGCAACGTGGCTCTACCACGTATAATCTATCTAGTAAAGAAGCGTAGTATTCTCCCAGTGGAGTAGCGTGCCTTAGAGGGGCCCTGGATCAAAGTTTGTCAGGGGGCCCAAATGAAGGGTAAAGATTTTTCAGAAAAGGAACAAAAACTCTCGCAATTAAAATAATTATATATTGATTATAAGTTATTAGTTACAATTAATACTCCTAGGAACTAAGCTAGCCAACAATTAACAATTCAAACCAACATCCTGTCCCATAGAAGTCCTTAGAATTTTTGCTTACATGCGTTCGGGGCCCCTGTAGCCCGAGGGTCCCGTATCATTGATACGGCTGATACGGCGGTAGCGACGCCCCTGTATTCTCTCGTAATGGAAACACCACGTTCCTTATAATCAATCAAAAGGATACATTCTAGATCCCAGAAAATCGTCGCCATGATCTTTCCGGCCAATTGAGACACCTTATACTTCTTAGGAGGGGGTGTGCCTTTTTCTACAGACTTTAAAAAGAAGACGGTACTCAATTGACTGTATGTTTTTTATGTGTGTTACCTCGTAAATATTTTCTCGGTGAACCGATTTCGATGATTCTTTTTTTATTTAAAAGCTAGTGCTTCTCATGTAGTCCCATAT